AAATAATTAAATTTTAATGGAGTAAGTATAAATATATCAATATTGGGTTTTTTGGATAGCTCATAACAAATTATGTATATTAGGCTCGAGAAAAAGTCGATTCGGATAAGCGATGTCTATGTTATTGCACTTTAAAGAAGTTGTTATCAATTGGCAATTTTTTTTTTATTAAGTTCAATTTTTGAATTCAAGAAGATTGACTCCCTTATTTAAAATTTTAAAGGTTTGAGGGATTTAATATAATATATTAAATCATGGACACTTTATTGTCATAGTACGTTTTGTGCCACCAAAATATTTGAAAATTCAACCGTGCTATTAGAACAGGCGCATTTGAACAGGCTGTTAACAGGCAATATTTAATTGGAAAATGCAATGTGGCCAGGCTCGGGGACCGACTCGGGGACAGGGTGCCGAGGTGGCAGCACCTCGACCATTGGATCTGCAAAAAAAAAAAACACATCATTGAACAGTAAAATTTATTTGAAAGTCGGGAGAAACTTTCCAGACCATTGTTCGTGCAAGACAACTTCCCCCAAATTAGAAGACTTCACAGCATTTTCCCTCATTTCCCTCTCTCTTGGTCCTTCATTCCCGCCGACCATTTCTACCAATCTGATAGCACCTCCGAACTGATTCCGGCAGCATCGGTGTGACAGCATCTCTTCGCCGACACCATCGAACCCAGGTGACCCACTGTTAAATTTCAGCTTGAAAATTTTTTAATTCGACATATTTCTTCACTTATTTATTATAGCAAATTTGTTGTTTGCAAACCATGAAAAATGCCATTGCTTCAAAAAAAAAATTGAATGACAGTGAATGTAGTTATTTAACTTAAAAAAAAAACATTGGAATCGATTTGTTCTCTGCCATATTTCTCGACTTCCACCAGTTAATCAATAAAACTTTTTTAAACGGGATTTTTGGTCTCATCTACTTGTGTGGTTCATTCTCTCTCCTAGTTGTTTACTGTGATTCCTTGCATATGAATTTTTGCTTAGAATACTCGATTCCTTCTTATTATCCAGCAGTGCCTTGTGAATGTGTGAAATTATACACATTTTGGTTCTATTTTTGCTTATACCTGTTTCTAAAAAATGAAATTACAGTGGTGTAATATGATGTTTGTTAAGGTGTTTATTATATATGAAATTGTTACTCTGAAAATGTATTTTCTGGTTTGTCGTTTCTTCGTTCAATAAAGCATTTGAAACTGAAGCGTTTTGTTGTGTAGAATTACAATTTCTGCGAGGCAATGTTTGGTGAGGAAGAAAATTTTCCATCTGGGCTCTGTTTGATTATATAGGAAATGTTGGTGAGGAAGAAAATTGTTGCCTTATATTGCAGTATGTATTTTAGCATTTTTATCCTGTGTTAGTTAATGCTTGTTTAATTTGCTTTCCTTCAAGGAAGAAATGAATCAGGGAATTATATGTTGATTATAATCTTTGAAATGGGAATTACCATTCATTTGAATTTTTTTATTTTTTTATTTTTTATTTTTTTATTTTTTTTTTGTTTTCAATTCTAATGATCTAGATGGAGATAATACAGAGTACTTTACGTTATTCAGATACACATACAGAAAATTCATTGTGCATAATAATGAAGATACAATTTTGGCTTCATTTCTAGACGCAGGAAATAATATGGAAGGTGGCATTGATGATTTTTTGTTGGAAACCGAGGATGAGATCGGTGCGAGGAATAGGAACATAGTGGAAGATCAAATGTTAGGAGGTGATGGTGTCATCGTACCTAAGGTAGGAATGATATTTAGCAATGAGAATGAAATGTTTGAATTGTACAAACAATATGCATACAACGTAGGTTTTCCCGTAAAAAAAAAGGAATTCAAAAAAAGGGGCCAGTGGAATTTTGAGATTTGTGACATATACTTGCGGCCATGAAGGTCGAAGACCAAGTACTGCTACCAGATCTGTAAGGCCGCAACCAACAATTCAAACCGATTGTAAGGCCCAGATAAGTGCATCTTCAGATGATCATGGCTCTTGGAGAATTAATGCAGTCCACCTTGACCACAATCATGGAACAAGCCCATCGAAATCCAGGTTGTTTCGATGCAATAGAAATTAAGTGTACAGGTGAAGCAGAGGCTTGAAGTGAATGATGTGGCGGGAATTCCGTTGCACAAAAGTTATAACTCCGCAGTTGTTGAGTCGGGCAAATATGAAAATATGACTTGTGTGGAAAAAGATTGTCGAAACTATATCAAACAAGTGAGACGGTTGAGACTCAGAGAAGGAGATGCCGTCGCAATACAAGCATATTTTTCAAATATGCAAGCACAGTGTTCGGGTTTTTATTTTAGTATTAATTTGGATGATGAATCGCGGTTGAGGAACGTATTTTGGGCAGATAATAGGTGTAGGCAGGCATACAAGGAATTTAGCGATGTGGTCACGTTCGATACAACATATCTCACAAATAAGTATGATATGCCTTTTGCTCCTTTCGTTGGCATCAATCACCATGGACAATCAACGTTGCTCGGTTGTGATTTGCTTTCGAACGAGGATACAAATAGTTTTGTGTGGCTATTCAGGTATAGCTTCAGTGCATGCACGGTGTAGCTCCCTATGGAATAATCATTGATCATGATAGAGCCATGCAAAATGCAATTCAAATTGTTTTTCCAAATACAAACCATAGGTGGTGTTTATGGCACATTTTGAAAAAGTTGCCAGAGAAGTTTGGGTACCATATTGATAAGGGTTCTATATTTTCTGATATACAGGGATTGGTGTATGACTCCCAGTTCGTTGAAGAGTTTGAAGAAGGTTGAATCACAATGATCAATAAGTTTGAATTACATGAAAATGATTGGTTATCTGGACTATACGAGAACAGAAAGCGTTGGGTTCCTTGCTTTTCGAAAACCACTTTTGGGCAGGGATTTCAACAACTCAAAGAAGTGAGAGTATGAATGCGTTCTTTGACGGGTATGTACATTCGAAGACCTCATTGATATAGTTTGTAGAACAATATGAGCGAGCACTACGGAATAAGGTTGAAAAGGAATTTCAAGATTATTTCAAATCATATTCACAAATGCTACCATGCGTAAATATGTTTGAAATGGAGAAACAATTTCAATCTGTTTACACCATCTCAAAATTCAAGGAGGTTCAGAAGAAGTTTATAGGGAAGATGTATTGCGACCTCATATCTACTTCAAAAAATAGTTTTGGGACAATGTACGAGGTCTGTACAGTTGTGGCATGCAGCGAGCGAAGAAAAAAACTTTTTTTGTCTCATTTCAAAAGGAGAATTGTCAATGCATTTGTAGCTGTCACTTGTTCGAGTTTAAGGGTATGATTTGTAGGCATGCGATATCTGTATTGATCTGTAATTGCATTACATCAATACCAGAGAAGTACATACTGGGATGATGGAGAAAAGATGTTAGTAGAGCACATGCGAGGGTGGCTATGAACTACGCTGGGTTGGTTAGCACACCTAGTCAGGTGAGATATGAGAGTATGTATCAGTCTTTTACTGGGTTGGCAGACCTTGCTGCTAATGATGATGGGCAGACTCGAGCCATAATGGAGTGAATAGAATCGTAGCGTACTGTTCTTACGTTGACACGGACGAGTACAAGCAGTAATGTCCTCGCACACCATACGATACAATTAGGCACCCAGTGCAGTATATCGCAGAATACCTCGAGCAAGAGCGTACGGAACCCTGTCGTATCAAGAAGAAAGGGTGCACCAAAGAAACTTCGAAGTAAAAGCCCGTTGGAGTTGAGTTCGAAAAAAGTAAAGGTAATTTAAAATATTATAATTCATTGTTAGAACAATTCCTCATACGCTTGCTTTGATATGCAGGCAACGTCGACATTGAGCAAAGGACAGAGACCAAAATCGAGTCAGAATACTACTCTAGTTAGTACACAGGAACTTCAGGCATCTCAACATTAGCAAGATGCAATACCAACAACGTCATCGTATTATAACTAATCATTTATAGGTAGACTAACTTGTTATGCAAATTCTCCTCAACTATGTTATACTACTCCAAACATTTCTATCCTCGAGGCGGCAGATTCTTGAAAACTGCTAATCACTCTTTGTATTTTTGTTTCACATATTTCTACTATAGTTTCCAATAATTCAAAAGATGATTTTATTAAGCAATTTATGGATTTGAAGAATCAGCAATTGGGTCTATCTTGAAGGAAACTCTGAAGGCTTTGGAATATCTTCATCGGCATGGCCATATTCATCGTGATGTGAAGATTAATTGATTCCGAAATATTTATCCTATAAAACAAGCAAAAAGACATTTCCAGATATGACAAGTTCATTGGAATCAACTTGGCTACTAAACTACTTTGCAGATTCATTAATATTTCCTTTTGCAGGCATGAAATATATTAATGGATAGCACTGGGGAGGTTAAACTTGCTGACTTTGGTGTTTCAGCAAGCATGTTTCACAAATGTCATAGGCAGCGCTCGAGGAATACCTTTGTGGGAACTCCATGCTGGTATGGCTTGACATTTATCTTTTCTTTTCTATTTTGTTTTCAGAATATGTATCCGTTTTTGTGATAGTTTAGGTTTTCTGTTATCTTAAATCTTTTGATGCCACCAGATCCAAGGATATTGGAACTCGAGAAGGAGTGAAAACCCGAGCATTTTTTGACAAACAATTCTTTGATCAGTCATTCCCGTGATACTGGATCGAGTACTCATGATATTGGTACTGAGGGAGCTATTGAAAGCATGAAGCCATTTGAAGACCTTGATGGTCTTTTATTTAGTCCTGATGTTTCAGATTTTGATTCTTTGTGGAGCTACTGAATTAATATATGCAATATGATTATTTATAGTCAAAATTAGTGCAATTTAATCCTCTTTTCCCAATTCAGTATTTAGTCCATGAAAGAATAGTTTTCTATCAAAGGATAACACAACAAATAAGCAATCTTTTCCATCACTAATGAATTAGTAAATAACATCACTAAATAACTTAAGTGAAACAAATAGTTAAAAAATACGTCATTAACAACAACTACATGAAGTGTGATTGAAGTGCTACTCGAAAAGGCTACAGAACAGGGTAGAAATCAGCTATTGAAGTGCCATCTGAACAAGAAATGCAAATATACATAACATCAACGTTTATTAAAAAATGGGGCTACTAATGCAACCGGCCACTTTCATTTCTCATTCTTCTCCACGGTTACTTTGCCCTTGCGAATTGTCATGTTCATGTTCATCGAAATCTGGACCTCTTCTTCGTCAGGGAGATGAATTTGATATTGAAACATGCGCGACAAATCTGACACTGATTCTTCTGATGTAGGATTTGCCTTGCTATCGACAGCACTTGATTCACCACTTTATTCTCCTTTTCCAACGCACTCCCAAAAACTGCATTTCTGACTACAGCATTTGAATAGTTTTCCTTCGATTTGCAACTATGACAAATTTCGAAATTCTTTCCTCCCATTCTACAATGACAATCAACCACCCAACATCAGTTTGAAGCACCAAATGAACACAACAACACAATCTCACCATTGCAAATTACCAACCTCAAACAATCCCAGTTAAAGATGCGAAATTGCAGGAAAAATATCTTCTACCAAATAAAGGAGGTGAATTTGTCATTATTCAACAATTTTCAACTAAACCAAGGTTCATCATTGACCAACAAAAGATTCCATATTTAGAACACTTCAAACTAAACGTCGAGTTTCCTCCTCCTATGGGAGAATAATGCATAACACCGACAATGAAAGTTTCGAAAAAAAGAAACTACAAACATTAAAGATGAAATTATTTTAAGCTCTAAAATGGGCTCCTTAACGTTTCCTTATGTAGTAATTTTTCTTTTCATCAGTATTTCCTTCGTCAATGATCCACTGTTTAATAGAAATATATTTCTACGGTTCAACTTGGTTTATTTGAGCCTTTTATTCTTCATCCAACTTGTCTACAAATGGTCACATGGCAACATAAAGGAGGATAATTGTGGTAGGTTAGAGAACATCATAACACATAGTCACAACTAAGCCATCTATCCCTCAAACATTTTATTACCTGTACCGCAACGCAATGTATCGGACCCCCAGAAGTGTACAAGTATTAATCATGAAATATCCCATAAACGACTCTAAATGATAGCACCTTTGAAGTAAGCAATAGTTCCCATTCTCTTCAAGACGCAAATTGGTAAAGAAGATAGTATTGTGATGTTTAGAACAAAAACCAACATAGCTCGTACAGAAGAAGTAAAATGGATGGAGAGGTCAGGGATAAGATTACACACTGTTCTCGGTCCTTTCTATATAATTATTCATAAATCTTACTAATATGTAGAAGAACATTAATCCTAAACCCTGAAATTCAGTTCTCAGAACAGTAAAATCAAAATCATCGAACCAAGGAAACAATATTTCAAAAATTGGACAACTAATCCTAATTTTGGATTCTATAAATTCCCAAAAGCAAAGCACAAAATAACGCAATTTAATATGGGTGATTATTTAGCAGTACAAAACAAAATTGAAAGACGAATACGAAAAACAACCTGGTGACAACAGAGTTATTAACACGAGGATGTATTACTGATCAAGACCGAACTAAAATTTGCTTTGGTCCTCATGACTGTCCCCATATAAACTTTTAATCTAACTCCAATCCGGTTGCACTTCTTATTTCAAGTTTCATAACCTAGAACAATGTACTACGATCTCTTCGATAAATGTTTTAAATACAGCTTCGTTCAGAGAAAATATTAGAAGAACCTTACCTGGCAAGATGACGACTTCGGTGTTCTAATCTGTAGCGGTCAAAATCGATGTAGTTCGCAAATGGTTCGATTTGGAATGCTTGCCAACCCCCACCGTTTTCTTTGATTTTAGGGACAATGAGCCAAGACCTGTCGGACCCACACGGGAGGTTCGCCGGTGTCGAGATTCGTGGCTACTGGAAGTTCCGACCTCACCGATTTTTTCACTCAAACTTTCCAGATTGGTTTTTGTTGAATTTGGGAATAATGTGCCAACACCGCACGCACCAAACGTTTTTCTTCCATTTATTATCAGTGGGGGTTTTTATTTCCCTTCCAGCCATGTGTAAACTCGTTTTTTTTTTTTTTTTTTTTTTATTACCTATATTGAATCTGTACAAATGAATTTGGTGGAATAGCATCAAGAATTTTACTTGACAGACATACGTGAGAAAGGGTTGTTTCTTTTTATAAGAATTATTTGCCTCGATTTTAGGGATTAATGGCTTGAATTGTGTGATTGAATTGACACGTGGGGTTAGACACTACTTGCTTTAGTTTTGGGAAGATTGTAATCAATAATGCCCTTAATTGTCCCCATTATATTAAGTAAACCTTGCATAAATTGCCAGACTAATGGTAACGCACAAGTTTGACAAATAATTCAATGTCCCAATTAAAGTTAGTTATTATAGATATATAGTCCAATTAACCTTATAAGACATTATATAATTTTTTATTTTATTTTTGTGATGTTATATTATAAATTAGAATACGGTAACTTATCACTTTATGTACATTGTCGCAAACTTATTTATCCTTTAAAAAAAACATTCACATTCTTATATTAAGTAGATTTTCATTAATTTGATTTAACGAGAAATCTGGGCAAGTTAATGGGGCCAATTGAGGGATTTTTGGTTGCATAATTATCCTTTTATACTTTTCACAAGATTAGCAGTCAAAACTTTTCTTAATTATACACTCCCCTTACAAAAATAGTTATGACATAAAACCACTCTATTCCATCTTCACTTAACCTTCCACGGCCTTTCCGAGTCTCCATCCCAGAAATGCCCGTTTCATCCAAGACAGGTTTAACACTACTCAAGAAGGTATTAAATTTTATTTTCTGCCATCATTTTGAGAACCAAACACTGTAGGTAAATGATGTAAAACCCACTGCATATTAATTTAATAACATCAAATTTCTTTATGCACTTACATGTTTCTGCATATATATTGTGTGTACATGAATGTCTCTATATAAGAGTCTGTTTGGGAGTGATTTTGAGAATTGATTTTTTGATCGTTAGGAGAAAAGTGGGGTCCATCTGTGAGAGAAGAAGTCAAATATGACGGCTGAAATAGTGAAATAACGGTCAAAAAATCAATTTTTTGGATGAAAAAATCGGGCCCAAACAGGCTCTAAATATGATATATATAAGTACATGTCGCGTGAACACATGGATGTATCTATATGCAGATTTATATATTGTGTGTGTGTATATATATGTTGTATGTATTACTATGTACCTGCGTGTGGGTGAAGGAATGTAAATAAATTTTATGTATTATATATATAAGTGTACTAAATATGTATATGTGCTTGTGCTAGCATGCAGTTGAATAAAATTTGTAGAAGTAGATATTGTTATTTAATAGTTCTCTCTACAAGGATTTTATTATTTTAATGGCTATGGAGCTATTTTTTTAATGATTATTGAAGCAACGAGTACCATATCTTTTAAAAGTTGATTTAACTTCCAAGTTGTACAAGCTTTCACACTTTTAATTACACATAAAATTTTACGACACTAATAAATTGAAATAGAGCAATACTATGAATTCCTATTTAAGGAATACTTGTTGTCAAGTTTTTTTTTTTTAAATAAACGATAATGAATTAGGATTTTGGCACGTTGGAGTTGCCACCAGATCGACCTTAAATCTGCAAGATACGTCAATAACGAAGGGGTTTTGAAAACGTGAATTCCTTACTTTCTCCCATCAACTCTATTATCAATCAAGGTAGGATACTATGCACAAGTTATTCCGTCCTTGCAATTTTATGATTTTTTTTTACGTGATTTATTTCATGAAATACTGATTGACCTGTGGGTCCCTATGAAATGAAATGAAATGTGAGATCTCCTTCGGGTCTTCTCAAATGTGTTAGAGCATTCGATTGATCACTGATTGCTCTTGACAAAATGATGGTATGAAATGTTATGAATTCATGTTTTAAAAGTTATTATATTGTTTTAGACGCACGTATCCTACTGAGTATAATTACTCACTTCTTCAAATTCTAATATTTCAGGTCAGTGCGGTTGATGTGGATGGTAGTGAGTGGTGCGCGAGCTGCCAAGTAAAACCTTTAGAGGAATGTTCAGAAATAAATTCGTTAAGAGTACTTGGTGTGTTTTCCTTGTTTCTAGTTAATGTTCTAAAGTTTATGATACTATGTTTATTTTATTTAGTATTTAAGAGTTCAAATAAATGTAAGGGTTTTAAAGTCTCCATAGAATATTTCCTCATCAAGCACACTTATTAAAGGATATCGGTAATACCTCAAATTTTAAGTCGATAATATTTGGGACGTTACAGTAATGGACACCATCACTTTTATATTCTTGATTTGTTTGACTGTGTCATTAAAGCTTTATATGCACCTTATGGATATAGTAACTTCCTATTCGTACAGTTCACTTGACAATGACATATATATGAAAGTTCCCAAAGGACTTAAAATTCCAAAAACAAATGATACATTAGAAAAATGAATTTAAGATGAAGGATTAGGGAAAAACTAAAATTTGTCTTGGATTGCAAATTGGACATTTCCTAGAAGAATTATTTGTTTATCAATCTACTTATACAGAAAAAGTCTTAAAACGCTTTTATATGGATAATGTACATTCATTGGCGTTATCTATGGTTGTTTGATAACTTAATATGAAAAATGATTCATTTCGTTCACCTGAAGATGGAGAAAAGGTTCTTGGTCTTAAAATACCATACCTTATTACAATTGGAGCATTAACTTATCTTGCAAATTGCACTCAACCCGACATAACTGTTTCTGTAAATCTTGTTGCAAAATATAGCTCTACAGCAACTGTAAGACATTGGGATGGTGTTAAGCATATTTTTCGTTACCTTAAGAGGACTATGGATTTGGGATTATTTTATTCTAAAAAGTCAGGATTTGCTTTAGTGGAATATGCAGTGCAGGTTATCTCTCTGATCCACATAAAGTTAAATCACAAACAGAATATGTGTTTGCACGTGGATGAACAGTTATATCATGGAGACCTGTGAAACAATCCTTACAACAATATTCTCAAATCATTCTGAAAATTATCACACTCTATAAAGCGAGTCGAGAATATGTATGGTTGATGAATATGACCCATCATATCCAAGTATCATACAGATTAACAAATATCATTCGGATTTACTTTAACAAAAGATAGTCCAACAATTTTGTATAAAAACAATACAGCTTGTATTGCACAATTTAAGGAGACTATATCAAAGATGACAGGACGAAACATATTTTTTCCAAAATTATTTCATACACATGAGTTTCAAAAGAATGGCGACATCGATATTCAACAAATTCACCCAAGTGATAATATGGCTGACTTATTCACAAAAACATTCTCAACATCTACATTCAAGAAATTGGTTCAAATGATTGAATTGCATCAGCTCAAAGATCTTCAGTGATTTTCATTAGGGGGAGTAGCTGTATTCTTTTTCTTTAGCTTAGATTTGTCCCACTGGGATTTTCTAGCAACGTTTTAATGAGGTAGCATTTTCTTTATACTTTATATTTTAGCAATTAACTGTACTCTTTTTTCCTTTGTTTGATTTTTTTTCATTGAATTTTTATCAAACAAGGTTTTCAACGAGGCAATTATTGTACAAATAATCATCAAATAGAGAGTGTTGTAAAATAATGAGATAAATATTGATGATTATTTAGTATTATCATGATACTAAGTTTTATCTAGTTTAGAAAATTCATTTTATTCCAAATGTAACCCTTATTTTGAACCCTATAAATGTAGGGTATTGGTTCATAAGATACAATTGAGTTTTGGCTCTTATTTTGTCTCTTCCTTTTAGTTTTATAACAAAAATTGCTTTTTATTTATTTAATATATATTACTACCAACATATTTGAAACAATAACACAATAATATATCAAAGTATTCTGATTTCGTTATTTATATGACTTCCAAATCATTTTGTTAAAATGTATGAAAAATAAAATAAAGAACTTGCTACAAAATGTTCATACCAAATACAGAGCGAAGACATTTGAAAATTAACATTATAATTTATTCTAAATTATTTTCAAATGTTAAATAATTTCAATGTATTAGTTAAAAAAATTAGGTTTTCCTGACTATAGACCTATTAAATTATGGTCATGTACCCAGCATGGTTATACACATCTGAGATAACACCAATCTCCAATACAAGCATTGTCACACATACAATGTAAAACTATATGAGCAAATACTCAACAAGTAACGATTGCATTATCATATGCATATACGTTGTTTATAATACTTTTTTCATTATATGATCTCATTATTGAAGTTCACAAATTTTCACATTATCTCAATTTTTCGTCATTTTGTCTCTGGGCTTGAACTACATACCTTTAAGCTCAAATATCAACATGACCAATAACATGCATGCCTTCCAAAGTTTGTAGGTCCGTCATTGCCGTCGAGACTCACAAAATCACAACTGTATCCATCGTTGCCCATCAAACTCATGATATTGCACTTGGAAATATATATCAAATATAGGTTTGGCATGGCCTATGTATACGATGCTCGTACTGTTAATCTGCAGTCTCAAGGCCACCAAAAGACCTTCGAGTAACATACGTATGTAGTATCAACTGACCAAAAATCTATCATTGACTACCCTTAATGATCATAGGGAGCCTAAAACAATATATCTATCCTGCATGAATGTATATAGTACTTCTTGTGCCGATCCACAATTCAAAAATTTGTAACTAAACTAGATCTTACTTGTTCATCGTTCTACTATAATCCTATTCACAGCTTCTACGTGCCTTTGCCACATAGGGGTCCAATTGGACATTTAACACTATATATAGGGCCGTGCTAGACAGACAAAGCCATGTAGGACCTGTCCGAACGGGGTGTCTAATTGGTACTCCCTATTGGATGGATAGGGTTGGGCTTGTCCAAGAAGATATATCCATGTATATATGGTGTTGCTGCACGTATATCGAAAAACATCAGTCGACTAAATG